GCTTAATGCTGCTGTGTTTTGTAAGGTGAGTGTGGAGAACCGGAGATCATTTCTACTGGAAACGAGGCATTCCATCTTTAGTCCTCATTGGCGACAACACATCAGCATTTTGATTCGTAATCGAGGATAGATGTAGAAGTTTATGGGCCACAGCAACCACTTACCATCAGGTGGACTGTATGATCGTTTGTCACCCTATTCTATAAAAAAATCATAAGTGGGTAAGGTCGTAAAAAAGTGTAAATAACGCATTGGAAGATATAACACACGATAACACAATAACGTACTGGAATAATATAAAGGTCAATGTTCACTTGGAAAAAGGTTTAAGTAAAATCCATTTTAAAATATTATCAATTACTTATTTTCATGAAATTAAGATTAAATAATCAAAAACAAATCTTAGACTATGCATAGACTATTCATATCTTGCAAGTTTGCGAAACTAAACACCAAAATAACACAACACAGTAGAATTAAAGCCTTTAACAAAATAATGTGCTTACAAAAAAGAATAGGTACTAATCAAAGTAGGTTATTCATAAAAGAAACATAACGAATTTAACAAATATGTGTTTACAGTTTACAATTAGTACAGATACCGTAATTTTACCATTTATCACAGAATTTTGTTTTACTGTTTTTTTTTTATTTTAAGGGTTATTTGAGACTATTCGCGTTCGCACAGAGCCATATTTAAGAAGAAATTAAAATTTAAAAATGCGTTTTTTTAATGTAATCAATAGGCGAACTATAATATAGTATTAATTAAATATGTAATGATTAAAAAAAACTTTTTGTTTTTATCTAATAAACTCAGCATACAAATATAATAAAGACACATTAAAAAATGTGTTTTTAACAATAACTTATTTATATTTTGCCATTTAATAAAATTTAAGAAAATGCTTCTTATCATTTAAACATTTTTTATATTATGGTCCTGTGCGAGTGGAAAAGTTGACGAAAGGCGACGACCTCTTAATTAAAAACGGACCTAGTTCGGCTACTGAGGGACAACTAGTAATAATAAATCAGAATAGTATAACACTCCACTCTTATGTAGGTACGTCAGAATAACATTGCACCTTTTTCATTTCACCGTCGTCGGTTAAGTTATGTGAACAGCATCCTTTATAAAATTCCAGTGTGTGACATAACAAACACCATAACACACGTAACGAACTGGGACAAACACACTCGAAAATTCAAAACTCAACAATGAATACCGGTCATAAATGATGCGCGATTTACTTAATAAAACTTGACATACACTGGTAATTGACTATAAATTTCGAATCAGGAATCTAGTAAACGATATCTTTGTACTTCTCACGTAGAATTGACATATACACTGCCCGAAATTAGTGCTCTAAATTATGGAATTTACAATTGTTTACGGTCACTACTACAAATAAAAAAAATATGTCAAAACTGACATTTGACGGTAAGCCTACGGCATTGCCTCATCTAAATAAGGTCAATAATCAAATCAAATTAAACAAAAAATCTATCCCATATCGAATCGGAGTAACACACTGGATAACTTTTGGAGACACAAAATTAGAGTGAGATTTTTTTCTACTAGCATTGTAATATTGTAATAATTTATACATTATCACACGGCATCTTTATTGCTTTCAAAGTAAACTACAATTTTAAAACCATAATGCTATATTATTTTTATTTGTTGCATTTTTCGTCCCGTAAGTTGATAGGAGACAAATAAATTTTGTATGCAGCTTTATTTTGTTGATTCAAAAATATTTTTTATTTTTTATGTTTAAGCCTCTTGAATATTATGGTTATTTCTACATTATTGTAAAGATGATTATCAATGTTTTATTAATTAATAATATTATCATACTTTTTGTTAGCTTATGGTATTCACAATCAAACATGGGCCCACTCAAAACTTTCAAAAAGTACATTTTTTTACGACCTTACCCAAGTTTGTTTTTCATTTTTTATTTATTCATATAACACGCCTTAAAAGAAGCGAGCGGAGGTAAACGTATTCTGCATTAAACAATGCCATTCGACTCATCAACGAAGCACGTGTTCTCGTCTATACGGACACAACATACCGCCTGTATATAGATACGTATGTTATTATGGTTGTAATCGGAAGGGTCAAACTCCCCTCCGCCGCCACTCTCCAGCGACCCCGTGTAGCCAGTGGTTGTATCGATCGCGCGACGTTGCCGCTCCGCTACTTTCCCCGCGGCGTTGCCGGTCCGCTATTTAGACGAGCCATTTGTGAGTTTGCGAGAGTGAGTGTGCAAGTACATTTTATTGTTATTATTATGACTTGTTGCTGCCTCCGTGATGATCCTGCGTTGTTGCTAGATACGACATTACGTAACTAAAGTGATTAGATGTTGCTAAGTCAGTTTGTTTCCGTTTCTGCAGTAAAAATGTTAAATTAACTTGAAAAATAGCAATTTTTCAAGTGAAATCTTCTTTAAAAGCACAGAACTCGTGTGACCGTCATATTCCGATACATAAAAGTGATGAAAGTAATGTTGAAAATTTACTAATTTGTAATTTTCTATTTCTATTAAAATACTTATTTTGGTATGAAAAATATTATCACTTCTTAATTTGATATTAAAGCCGGCATAAATAATTCTGAATAGCAACAATTACACTACGTTTTTTTAAATAAACTCTCACCTGTGGGAACTCAAAATGAAAACTGTCATGTCTGCATTCAGCCACATCTTACTTAGGTAGGATAAACCTATTGAATGTAAGTAATAGAGAATTTTTCGATTTTTGCTATGCTTTCAAAAAGCGAAATCCCTTGCCGTTTCATTTGACCACACTGCTACTAACAAGGTAACATGCAATATAATATAAATTTATTGCTATTGTCACCTTCCGACAATCGAAGGTGATGAGACATTACGTTAGTTGAGTGCTCGATCGATGTGTGCAGCATGTGGGGCGTCTCTGAGTACTGCATATCGACTAATGAAAACGTTTTAAACGATAATCATAACTTGATTGCGGGCTGGATATTAAATTAGTCGATATAGACATCGTGGAATACTAAAACTTCTCGGGTCTGGACACATTGCCATACCTTCGCCTATTACGGATAAGAAGCTGTCGTTAGTGCAACTTATCTAGCTTGGACTTATCCTCGCGTTACATATTTAACTATAGACCAGATCATCACTCTATTTTTGTATGTAACTTTTATTATGTTAAATATGAGACAAAAGAGTGTACTTAATCTGTGTTCTCAAGTTCGTTTTCATACTCTCAAATTACAATATATCAAAAACTGGCAATTTTGTTGTGTGTCAAAGTTATAACGCCCTATATCGATAACTTTGACAGGCGAGATTTGTCGCAGGAATCATAATTTTCAAACATTTTATTGCTTCAGGGTTCAGGGTAACATTAGTTTAAGTTTTTTACAAATTTCAGATGCAGTGAAGTCATATACAAGTCAATTAAACCATAAAATTGTAGTACTATCTTTATTTAAACAGTTTGCATTTTATTAGAATTATTAATTTAATACCATTAAATTCCTCTTTAAAAGTTTACCACTGCAAAAAGACAACAGGTGCGCACGGTACTACTTTAAAATAAGTTTTTGAATTGAGGTTAACTTCGTTTGATAGCTACTTTTTTTCTAGAGTTCGTTTACGAAGTTTGCGAAGTACACGAATTGTATAAATTGAATGTTATGCACTAAATGTTGTTCGCGTAGAAAATAAAAGAGTATTTTGCGATTGGACTGTCAGTTACCTTTACCTAGTCCTTCCTACAACGCGAGTAACCCACCCACGTTCAGCTGTGGGCTTTCAGAGGCAAAAGATCGCTTAGTAGGTAATACTTTAGCTTCTTAGCTCTACGTTTTAAATCTCACGTAGAAGTAGGGTTGCCACCCGTACTATGGTATCGTACTATATTTCAGTCAATTGTACTATATGTTATATAAAAATTATATAATACGAAAAATAATTTATTTTTATCCCCAAATCATATTTGTTATGTTAACTGTGATTGGAAGTCAGGAACAAGTATGTTTTACAGAAAGAATTTTTTCCTTCATGAATGTAAAATTGAAAGAAAAAGAGCTTGTAACATATGTTGAGCTTATAAAATGTATGGTTTTGTAGCCCGAGCCAGTAATAACTTTGTACGTCCTAATACATATCTAGAAATTCTCAGTTAGAACTATTAATTTAAATACAATTTTATTTTAATATGAATCTAAGCTCAGACTCCTATAATTATTTTAAAAGTAAAGTAGAAGGTAAGGCGTTTAGATCCTTGATAGCCGAAGCAATGAGCAGTAACAAATGTATATGCAAAAATACATTAATATTTGTATTGAGTACACAGACATTAAGATTCAAAATAAATCTGTTCTATTTTTACTCCGGAATTTCTCAAAAGTAGATATTATATTTTTGCATCCTTTTCGAGAAAAATACTATATATGTTCAAAAAAATGGTGGCAACTCTACGTAGAAGTGTAATAATTTGCCATTCGATTCAAATGCGAATGATTTCAAGGCAAAATGAGGCTTTGTTAAGCTAAGTCAGACGTCAGAGCACTTTACCATCTTCGACTTAATCACTTCTTAAAATCAGGTGGTATAGTTACACTGGTATAAGCATTAAAAAATGTAGCCTATAGATATATTTTGACTGATTTATTGTTTTATGATAACAAATATGTGCTCCATGATTGCCAAAAGTGGTTGGAATAGCTCCGAATTGACCAAAAACACATCATATTGTAGAGTCCGACAATTTCATGTGAGTTTCAGTGGTTTTCCGTAATTATTATTAACATAAGGACTTGTCTCTTTTAAATATTAATAAATAAATAGATAAGAATTGTGATTGTATATAATAAATAAATAACATTACAACATTTATTGTTTATAAAACATATTGACTGGAATGAAGTATTTCAAAGTATTTACATTACCCTCCGCCTAGGGGAAGCCAGTTAAAAACAATTATTACGACTATGAAAGATCTATTTTGAATTTGCTTCCGTTTTTTCTAAAATCCTTAATCAGGTTTATAACTTCGCTGCGAAATTCTAACTTTTGGTCCACATTGAATTCTCTTACTGCAGGCAAGAGGGATTCGAAGAATGATCTATCTTCATCTTCTACGGTGTAGCTACAACTTGTGTCGGTGTATGGAGCGTCGACAAATTCTATTTTTTCTGCTTTACTCTCTTTAACCCTTCGACGTTTAAGATTGTCTATAGTTGAAGGTACTTCTTCCTCACCATCGCTAGTCCAAACATTGGATTCATTTAGTATATCAAACCGTCTTCTTTTCCCTGCAAGCTTCTTTAGTTTCGTTGTATCTTCGTCATTCCACTCGCGTGAGTCCTCACTGCCGGAATGATTATTGGTCTTGTACAGGTTGTCTAAGAAGGTCAAGTGTTTGGCGTACATGTAGGCCTTTTTGCTGTCCTTCCTCTTAAGATCGCGAACGTAAGAGTCCCGTATATTGCGCCATTTACTATGAAGCTTTCTGTCTGCAACAAACAACAATAATCAACAAATAAATTAAAATAAATGGCTATTTTAGACTAACCTTTGTAAATGTGAAGAAACGGAGGAAGTGATTACGCTCTCGTATACACATAAAGTAACATTATGTCCATGAGAGGGTTTACTGCATTAGTGTTTTGTCATCATCATCATCATCATTATAATCATCATTTCTCCGTAAATATAACACGGACCCCTATCATTATAACCAGCAAATAGGATTGATCAAATATATTTTTGTTGGTGATCGCGTCTATCGTAAGCTTACGACACCAACAGGAGAAAATAAGTAGTTCCCATCATTTACCCCGCTAGCGAGCATCATATTATGTCATACATTATTTTGTTATTGTCGGGCTCTGGAGAGGTCTTTTAACATTTGACTCAGTTAATACCTATAGTATAGTTATAAAATTCTTAACGCTGCCTTTAAATGGCTTTTTTATTGCCTGCAAATTTTGAATTCTATGTCAAATAAATTCGAACAAAGTATAACTTTAATGTTATTAAGTCAAAATGAGAACTGAATTTCTATTTTAATATATGAATATAGCAATACTGTGCCAGCATAAACAACACCGTAAATAAAACAGTTAGTAAGCCCATACCAGACCCGAGCCGGCTCGCGAGCTTAACGTAGGCAGAGCCACACCTCGAGAACTCCCACCCACCGCTCTTTTATATTGTTTACTGTACTTATGTAACATTTTCGCCTACATGCATTTATTGCACTCAATTACATAAAAGTTGGATAAATTGTTGTTGCAGCTATTAGAAGTTACGACACGTCAGGCTAGCAGGTTCGGTGGCCAAGCCCTCTTGGCCTATTTTAGTTCGCGTAGTGGACCGAACTTGGTCTTCCACACCTAAGCAAACATGTTGGTGTATAGCGTAAGTGGTTTCGTGGCTGTTTGACGGCTGCAAGAGTACGTGTACCATTAAAAAGGAAATTAAAGACATTGTTCGGAAAAATGACACGACATCGTGATTATGACAATATCTAGAGGTTTTGAATAATATCTAAATGTTTTGAATGGAACAAGTGTAACAAATTTAAGATTTTGTCCTTTTTAGACAGACAGACCGAGACCAAAATTTTATCATTAGCGATTGTAGCTCCAAAGTAAAATAATCGAAAACTTGGACTTTTTTTATAAAGTAATAAAACACTATTTTGGATTTTCCCCTGTACCGTGGACGCAATTTATAAACACATAAATTTCACAAGGACCAACATCCAGACTCTGAACAATTGTTTGTAGGCTATATAAATACTTGTTACGTGTGGGATTCGAACTTGCGGCCCTTGGCTTATTTTTAAGCCACGGCGCCACGGAGTCGTCGCAACTATTAGGATTATTTTTTACTTTTATGAAGATTTACTTTAATATATAGTCCCAAAATACTTTAATGGACCTTGACGACTTGCATTATATAATTAAGTATTTCGAGCTATATAATGAATGTCTAATGATAACATAACGTGAATATAACGCAACACAACGTTACTTTAATACTTACAAACTTCTAACTTTTCATTTTCGGTCATCTCGTCGAAATCCGCGATAAACACTTGCGCTACCTGCCCCCACGCGCGCTGCTTCCTGTTCCTGTGCCTGTTGTCCTCGCTGTTTAGGTCCCATATCTCAGGGTACTTTTCCACTTCACTTATGAACATCTCGACGTCCAGACAATATGTCATTTTGTATATCTACATACACTAGCATAGTAAATATGATATTATTGCACTCATATTACTTAGTTTCAATCAGTCTTATATATTTACGTAAAACGTAGTAGCGTTTTTGTTGCGACAGAACGCGCGTCTATTCCACGAGCAGCCCGAGCTGAAGTGTTGACGCAGCCTTGCCGGCGCGGCGTCGCTGCGACTCGCCGCGCTTCGGCTGCGTTCCGCGGTGCGGCAACGTCGCACTGCGGTCTTTAACTTCCTTGCCTTGGTTACTTTTTCTGCGTAGCTCCCCTGATTTTTAATTTTTTTAAGCAGTGTTTTTAAACTACGTCTAGAAAATTATTTTTTAATCTACCGAAATCGCTTCACAATTAAACGAAAATAATTTACTTTTCCTAAAAGCCTTGAAAGTGGAATGGGATTAGAGATGAGACGGTTCTGGTTGCGCCGGGTACCCGGCGACTCTTGGTGGCTAAAGCCCATGGGATGTTACCATATCGCTCGGTATTTATGTATACCTTCCAGTTCATCAATAGCGAACGCATTTTTTTCTGAGGCAGCTAACATTAATGAAAGAAAGCGTAATCTATTTGGCTTCGAGGTGAAAAGCAAGTTTTTCTTCACTACAATTATACTCTAAATAACTTGAATGCATAAATTTATCTTTATCCATCATATTATTCACAGTTAATTAAAGGCTGATTGTTGTAATTGTGTAAAAAAACTTAACATTTTTTGTTATTAGAGATTAATATAAATTTTTTTCTCCGTAAAAATATTATTAGTTTAATAGTTACATTAAGTACTATGCTATTTTTCTGTTACCCGCCAGATCCGGCGGAAACCAACCAGATCCAAAACAGATCCACCGTATCTCTAGTCATCATCATTACATTCCACTATGTACATTACGAACATAGACGCTCTCAAAGACTGTTATGAAACATTATTCTGAGCCACCTGCTTGCATTGCTATCCTCGACATGTGTAACCAACCAGGTCCTCATACTGTCTCTAAGCTGGGTATATCTGAGACTCAAGAACCCTCCTTTCTCCTTTGTTATTTGCTTTAATTTATTATAGTTTAGTTACTACATGGCTGACTCTATATCATCACTTCAGCTTACTTACCTGATCCCTTACACTTTAACTGATATCTGGTTCTAATGATGATAGCGCATGTCTTATAAATTCTATCACCCAAAACAAACCTCGAGAATAACCCCTTTAACTGGCCGAGCAAAGTTCCCACTGTTGTGTTCCGCTTTAAAAAGGTACAACTGTATAATTACATACTTTAAGTCAACATAATTTATATATTAGCAAAACGAGATAACGGCCTTTCTTCTTCAACAATTTTTTTATAGTAGTAAGGTTGACAAACGGGCACACAGTCTAAGTGATGGGTTGGTACAAAAACACCTACACCGATCAAACGAAGAATAAAAAAAAATACAGATGCGATGGAATGCGCTGCTACCAGTAAACAAACAAGATCTCTGGTTCTCTACTTTCACGAGATTTTGTTAGGTTGTATTATTATTGATATTTGTAAATATTGCAACTATATTGTTTATGTAATTTGGTTTTATCGTCGTATTTTAACATAAGTTTTAATTACGTTGATTTGTGTCGGTTTCTTTTTGTCGGTGGCACTAACCATAAATTACTTTGACTTTGAAGCAGTCCTCTGTATTGTTTTTGAAATGATAAATGTTTCTAAGACTACGTTATGAACTCTACATAAGACGGTACGTTCAGTCCAGTTGAAGATCGTTTGAAGGACATTCCGTCGTAGCACAGTCACTGTGTTTATTTTAAACCATGGCAGATGTGTGGGTGTCGTGTGTTGAATTGAGGAAAGGAATGCTACGTAAGTTGTTTTTACATTTGCCACTGTTATTCATAACCTTGAGTGTATTGCCATCTTTTTTATAGCTAATTAATAATTACATATTACTAGCGATCTGCCCCGGCTTCGCACGGTTGATTTCTGAAACTCTACGACAGCGCCACCTACCGTGTCCTTCCATCCAGAGACCTTCTCAATACACAAAATATTGCATCAAAATCAGTCGAGCCATTTTCGAGTTTTAACGAGACTAAGGGCCAGCAACTAATTTTCATAATAGAGAAGATAAATGTGTTGTGGATGTATTTTTGTCTTGTAATAATATTAACGCGCATTGCGAAACTTATCGAAGTTTCAACATATTTTTTATATATATATATATATATATATATATATATAAATAGCTTGTATACTCTAAGTGCCTTACCAGCCTTCCACTCTAAAGAGATTTGTAGTTCTTTATAATAATGTCCTCCAGACCGCATTTCAGTCACCGTCAGCCTCAGCGGAGACCAGCCATCGGCGCAGGACAGGATTATAGTGCCCAAGTATGTGTGCAAACAAACGGGTGCAATCTCTATTCCCTTATCATGTTCCGATGGAACGCTAAACCGATACAACCAGAGAGAGATCGGGCGCAGGATCAACGGCTTGCTTTCCGAGGTACGGGGGTGAGACATCGCACAATTCCTGACTCCGGGTAGCTACTGCGAACTTCTTAACGGAAAAAGTCAATAACTGATATTTTTTGGCCCGACCGGGCATTCAAACCCAGAACCACATGAACAGCAGTCGCGCTACTACAACCACTAGACCAACAAGGCAGAGGCTTTATAATATTATATTATAAAATATACTCTAAAGTTTGTCACTGTCGCAGTTTTAAAAAGTAATTAAGAAAACAGAGAAAATAAAAAGGAAAAGACAATTTACGGTCATACTTATTTTAATATTTTTTGTCTCAAATAAAAACAAACCCAAGAATGAACATTCAACTTGGACCATTTATCTAGAAGTCTAGAAATTTAAAAAATTAAAAATGCATTTTTCCCGTTGCGAGAAAAGATTTCGGAGAGTATAACCGCGGCCGGTTTCGAATTCAAGGAGTAATGGCGAAACTTTAATGTAATTACACAAATTTTCAATTTAGATTGGCACGCTCTTCGTGCATAATATATTTTATACGCGGGTAAAATGTTGGCTACCACCACTACGACTGCTATGAGAATACATATTACATTATAGTTTAGAGTTTAGACGTATGAAATTTCTAGAGACGGGCAGGGCCATTATTATATAAATTTTTGAACATATCTAATGGCCCGTTTACATTATCTTAGTCTTTAAAGAGAGTAATTTTAGTAAAGTACTTATCGCCGTAACTAAACTCAAATAGACTTATTTTTGTTTGGAGAGATACTAGGCAGGTGATAATATCACATTATAGCTTTTGACGTATGAAATTTCTAAAGAGACGGGCAGAGCCATTATGTAAATTTTTGCAAATATGTAATGGTCCGTTTACATTATCTTAGTCTTAAGTACGTTCATAGCGTACTAATTGCTTTAGTACATATAGCATGTAAGCGCACCATCAGATAAAAAATGGTACAAAGGAAGGCTACGTCATCTATAAGCCGCAGAATGTAGCCATGATATAATGTGATGAAAGAAGTAACTATGATTGATAGGTGGAGTTATTTTTAATATATTTTTTATACCATTTATTTAGTGGAACCATTATTTGCCGCCTGGCTATACAAATTCCTACGGGGTCGAACCCTGCTTCTGCTCCACAATTAATTCTATTATTTATTCCGTGGCTTAGACACTGCGTTAAGGAGCTATAGGAATCCGAATGTGAAGGTGGCTGGAAGTTCTGTTTTGAAATCTACTAGTTCAATTGAAAGTTATGTATGTGTTAAATATATCAAATGGTAATATTTCATATACCTGTTTTAAAGAAACGTAATCCAGTTATCTTCATTCATTCACAATTTTATTAATAATAACGCCTAGTCTAGCGCGGGACGGGACTATGGTGCCAGAGTGTATGCGTGAGCACAGGTGAACTCTCTATTTCCTCACTCACATAGTGGTCACAATGGGACGCTCATCCTTTACAACCGAAGAGAGATCAAGGAAGATCAACGGCTTCACGTGCTTTCCGAGGCACGGAGATAAAACACTGCCATCTTCCGGACTCAACTGAGTTAGCTGCTACTGAACTAATTTTTTAGCAGAAAACCTGGGATTCAGTGGTCAGTCACATTTATGTCCACTAGACTAATGATACAGTCAAATGAGTTATTTTATAAGCATGTGTAAACATACGTGGTCGGGCCATGTTGCAGCTATATTATGCTTGTAGCATGAATTGGTTGTCTCGGCCGAGGAAGGACTAAACTCTACCAGCCAGAATACCAGCGTAAAATAACAGCTCAATACTACGTGTTTCGTATGGCGAGTGAGACCTTTTTTACTGGATACGAGGCATTCCATTTTAGTTACAACGCATCTGCATTTTGATTATCAATCGAGGACAGATGTAGTACATGTCTATGGGCCACAGCAAACACTTACGATCAGGTGGGCTATGTGCACGCTTCTCACACTTGTTCTATAAAAGAACGAAATAGTTATTTTGATAAACGCTTAGTAATGATCTTATTGTTTGTTACAGGTATCTAAGCATATCGAGGTGAGCAATTAATAATACATTTATTTGTAACAATTTATTATTCTGATTACAACGATAACAGTCTTTGCACCGCAAATTGTTAGTATTCTATACATATTTACATATAAGATAGCGACAATATAGGTTTAACAATAACGAGTCTTACGAGTATTGAGGTGTCACGGAAGCATTGTATTACTTTTTTAGAATAAAATGTACAATATGTAAGGCGCTTGTGAATCACTTTTTGGCCACTGCCAAACACTTTTGAACTAAATTTTGCAAAACATAAATTATAAACGATAAAGATGGTATTGCAATCAGGGATTGATAACCCGTTCCAAATATCGTTAACATTTTTTTTTTAACAATAAGAGAATATCGGGACGGCATTTAGTCCACATACATAAACGTATTCCCCTGTTTTCTTCCTGCATAATGGATATTAGAGCAAATATTGTTTTACAATACCAACTCTGTCTGCCACTGTACTTGTTCTATGTATTGTTTTTTTTTCGTAAATTATTTTCTAAATTAGGTAAAAGTAAAAGTAAAGTTACAGCCTATTTACGTCCCACTGCTGGGCTCAGGCCTCCCCTCATTTCTGAGAGGGTTTTTTTTTAAATCAGCACTTCAAATTGCAATTAACAATTTCATTGGTGCCGGCGGGGATCGAACCCGGGTTTCTAGCGTTCTGTTATATTTACAGCGAGCGTTAACCACTGAGCTACCACGGCTAAATTAGGTACTTTTAAATTATTAATACTGTCCAATTAGACATCATACATAAATAGCCATAGTCCTTCTTTTATTGGTCTTGGAAAAAATTGAATTAAGTCCAGTTTTGAGGAGGAAACAAGGGAGTATGGGATAATGATTTCGTAAATTTTTCATAGGTAACCCGAAGTGCAATTGTTTCTCTCGGTCGCCTAGCTCGGTGGTTCGATCACAGCGCGACAGCAATAGATCGTAATAATTGAAATATATTGTTCAAATTCCTTGCAGCCCAGATATCTCCTTAGGGTTCTAAGAAAGGTTGCCTTTTCAGATAAGGCATCGGTTTGAAAAGATAATATTTCACCTTCGAGACGTTGCAGCTTTGTTTTTCAATATTACTTCAATTTTAATGAACACATATAAAACTTCATGATAACTTCCAATCGACAATGTTATGTAATAATTATCCTACCGGAAAAATAAGGTTCAGTAGTTTGGACACGTAGAAAGAATGAATGAGGGAAGAGTGACGAAGAAAATGTATGCTGCTAAAGCATACAGAGCACGGTCGGTAAGTAACGCCCTAAACGGAAGTATATCGACCAAGTTGGCGATATTAACCAATTTAACCGGCAAACACGTTGTATACGTATATGGAAGATGAAGGCGATAGAGATCATGTCAAAATGGAAGTAGGCAGTGTCTGCATACTAGTCTTGAGTGACTAGCGAGGGAGTTTAAGTGTGTATTTTTACACGTTGTAGAACCATACTACATATATATGGTGAAGGACCACTCTCTCAGAGAATACCAGCGTAAAGTAGCAGCTTAACGCTTCTGCTGTTTTTGTATGGTGATGAGTGTAGAAGATCCTTTTTACTGGAAACGAGGCATTACATTTCAACCCTCAGGCGTGACAACGCATCTGCGTTTTGATTTTTCATGGAGGATTGATGTAGATGTTATGAACAGAATCCACTTACTATCAGGTGAAATATAAAAAAAATTATCTATCCTGGTCCTGGTTTCAATCTCTGATTATAATTGCACTATTTAAATGCGTCACACTACTACATGAGCATTTGTTAACATTACACCTGGAATAAAATAACAAAATCAGTAGATACGCGACATGCGCGCACCGTAAGTCAATCGGTGCTGTCCCGTCGCTGATGCTTCACGTCTGTAATTCGGGTGTCCGCGTTGGAGCTGCCGGGCTGTTCGTTACTGAAATGGCAGGCTACAGCCTCTTGCATTATATTCGCTATCTGTGCCCGCGTCCACATCTTGATGTTCAACGGAAGCTGTCTCATCTCTGGCAGAAACGAAAGCAGGAACAGCTTGTCCGTATCGGTCTCCATGTCCCCCGGTATTTCCACGTTGTTGAACACCGGCATCTCGATTTCATCCTGGGGCGGTTCACTGTCCGAGCTGGACTTTTTGATGCGTTTCCTTCGCTTCGGTTGTTTTGCGGGGCCGGACTTTGAATGTTCTTTGACGTGCAAATCGGTGTCCACTATTGTGGTGTCGTTCATGGCATCATCACTGCAAATTAAGATCCTTGTAAGATATATACGGACAAAGTTATAATCCATTGGTGTGTGTTGAAAGTGTGTATATAATTCAAAAAGGAAAAATAAAAAGTTATAATCCATTGGTGTGTGTTGAAAGTGTGTATATAATTCAAAAAGGAAAAATAAAAAGTCATTGCTCCTCACGGGTCTCTTCCATAGATTAAAGGTTTTGCCTTGATCAGAACGCAGATAGTCGCGGATCGTAGTATCAGAAGTCTGGATTTTTTACATATGACTGAACAATGGTTATATCATTTCCTTTAGTCGCCTCTTATAGTGCTTCAGGAGTGAGATTATGAATTCTGCAGAGAAGAGCAGCGACAGTAGCGGGCGCCGATCGATAACTCAAGGTCGTGGGATTGAATCCGCCATTTGACTACTGTTGTGAACCACTCCTAACACAAGCGTTTCAAGCTTACCAGGAGTGGTTAAAATTAAAAGGAATATTAGTAATGTTAATTAATAAGATTACTTATATTTAAAAAAAATCTGTTAAACCGTCACCACGCAGGAATTGCATGGCGGTGTTGTGTGTCATTTTATAAATAGCATATTGTTATTATTAGTTGGATATCACAACCATGTGAAAATTTAGTAGTGAATGTTGTCTAGACAGCTTTTCGTTCACGGCGGCCATTCTCAACGGAGATTAGCCATCGGTGCAGAAGTGCACCGATATAATTTTGTATAATATATATAACATAATAATCTTGTATAAGTGCACCCTCTACTTATTTACTCTCATAATCAGTTGGAATGGCAACATTCTGACCAACGAGGCGGGTGCAGTAATGGTTGTATGGCCACGTCTCCTTTGCCGGTGTGGATATTTAACATCTGGATTAGATAACATACTCATACCGCAATCAATCGGGTATGAAATTTCTCTGACGTTTCCGTGCCAATTACGAAATCCACGTGATGAAAAGGGTTTGAGAATTCTATTAAATCGCTACCATACAAACCTAATAAACAACTTCTAGATGCTAGTGATAGAAAAACAATAAATCTAAGAATTATTAGTGTGAGATTATATGTGAATTCTTTTTCCATTTCCAATATGTGGTAGAACTTCTTCGCTGTCTAGACAGTGCTGTCGCAGAAGTACATATTTTCGGGTGGTGAAGTGCTAGTGTGAGTGCTGTGCTCGGTGTAAGGTTCTGGTTTTCTAATTTAACGGATTTTAACGTTTAATAGGACTCTATACGACGCTCTTGTAGCTTATACACGACGCCAGACTAAGCTATTTTAAAATGAAACATCGGTGGGAATCTGAGACCAGGATTACCGATCGAAATATATGGTGAACAGTTTTAAAATAATACGGATGAAAGTAAAAATGAGCAAACGTCTTCTTCATATCTGTGGAGCTTTGCATAAGTTAAATTAGTGTGAAGCAACAGAGTTGAGAATCGATTATACAAAATTATTCAAATACACTCACTCTTCACTGAGCGTCCCCTCGAATCCCCCTAAGAAGCTCATTCTCTTGAAATATATGTAGACACGCCTGTGTATTCTGACACCGGATCTTCTTGCTCGTAGCTCTCGGTTATATGCGTCACGCAGCGACCGCCATTTCCTTTGTATCTGCAGGACTGGCCAAATTGTGATTTGACTGATCAATCAAATAAGTATAAGTAATTACAACGAAACATTTTTAGGTGTTCTTTACGACTTGATTGCTTAAACCAACTTTATGGATCAAGTAAAAACATGAGAAATAGTAGCCAAAAACCATAAACTCTTAAAAACGTTTTAAGTTATATCACACGCCTAAAAATGTTACTTATTGGTAGGTAATATATACCTAATTGATATTTTTGCTATAGTGTTTATTTCATTTCTTAATATTATGTATGTACAAAATAAAAAATACAGAAGTTATATAAGTTTAACTATTATCTAATCGGTAACTAAACTGATTATAAAATACCATTCGATAACTTAATTCAACAAGACGTGATCTTGAAAACATGTGTTTCGATAAAAAAAAACTAACCACTCTATTATCCTTGAGAATATAAACTAGCCGATAGACTGCCTTTTAATAAAACATTACACCGAGTTCAGTCCACGTGTAATCTCGCGCGAAATTGAAGGATCGTAATCTGTTTCTATTATATTACGGGTTATAGGTTTGTAAAATTGAACCTAAACTTATGAGTAAGACCTCAATGTAAAGCATTCGACATGCATTTTAAGCTATCACCGTTCAGAGCAGAGAAATAGGACCGTGGAGTAGTTGCCGATTCTCGTGTGAGGTGTTGTTTATGCTGTTGACACTAGGTGGTGGGACTTCTTTTCTACCCAGGAGTCAGGTAGGTGCCACACCCATTCACCTATTTGTTCTACGGAATGGCAGTGCTTGCACTGCGGGCAGCCATTCCATCTCAGTCCTCATAGGCGAGCACGCAGCTAGAAGGCTACCTCTTTGTTTGAAGTGACAAGACGACTGTGGACTGCAGAAGCCACTTAACACCACCTGGACTGTAAGTTCGTCTATACTAAAGTGCGAGCAATATTATATACTATGTGATCGTTCGATCCCTATATGTATAATAATATAATTATATAGTACAGAGAAATAACAATCAGTCACGCCAAGCCCACTCAGCAGAGTTAAAATGGTCGCGCTCACAAGTTGTGAAAGTAGAAGTTAACTTCGTGTGGAAACCCATCTTTGTTTTACGACGTATTTCATATAATGGTGTAACATACATATTTCTGCTGATCCGTTTACCACGTAATCACATAAACAACATTTATTATAAATCAAATTATAAACAATTTTCGATAATTAACTTATCGTATGGCTGTGCACACTAATAATTTTGACGTCGCTATTATAAAGGCTCATTCATTTCATAGAAAAAAACAAATATACACAGGTCATTAAGTTGAGTTGAGTACTACACCTTCACAGAATTTATCTGTCAAGCAAACCATGTTATTACGTTTTTATTTGAAGTTTAAGTTACATTTTTTACAAATACTTTCACACAAGAATACGATAACTGCTCACATGTATACCTGTGTGATACATCGTAGCCTTGTTTAACGTGCTCCAGTTTGGAAGCATCGCGTCGCCGATCTCCTTCCACAGTTGCAACCTCTCCAAACGATCTGCCGGACGCTCCGAGTCGTACAGTCCCGGTCGCTTTTTAACCTCCTCGATCAATTTAAGAGGGTTTAAGTTATTAACGGCCATCTCGGTGTCCGACATAAGTGTGCGACAGAAAAGACGCAACGAGCACTCCGCGGTGCTAGCGCGACGCGACTGCCGTGTGTCGGTCGGCATTCACTGCGCACGCTGGTCGCTCGTGATTGGCGTATCGCCGCCGTTGTGATCGTGCACGACAGCGACAGCCCGCCCCCTGCGACTGCCTAGTCGCGCGCCTTAGTCAAACCTTATTAATTTTTAACCTTACTAACAGTTTAGGATCAAAAGGCGTATATAATGCTAGAAGCATTTTCTGTCAGTCAACCTTATAGCAGTGACAACACTACGAAGGCAAACAAAGAACATAAAAAAATTATATGTGAAAATAAAACATACACACGTATCTAAATAAGACAAAAAAAAAACAACAGAATGAAATAACGTCAATATTTATACAAAGACTACATACATACATATAAACTTATAAACATATTATACACAAATATATAAGTATATAAACCTATTATATGAAAATATAGTATAAGATATATAATATTCTGATTAAACTAAAACAGACTTATCTAGATGCTGATGCAAAAACAAATACATAATACCCGTTCATGAATTTTCATTGGCTGATTTCCAAAAAGTGAAGATATCTAAAACGCAGTCCCACGAAAATAAATACACGTTTTTATATAATCTCGTTTCTGTTTTAGAACGCAAACGTAGAAATGATATATTCGTGCAAGTAGCTCGTAAATAATCCAATCGTTCATTATTATGTGTAAAACAATTTCAATCCAGTGTGTTATTGCGGCACTTCGTGCTAGCGTGATTAAAATCAACCAAACTTTTTATTGTCCTAAATATCATTCACACTTCTGTAACTCCTGTTTTTAAAAGCGCTTGAAAATATTTTTGGTAATGCATTTTAAATAGAAAAAACGTATCTGATGTGTACCCATGCGTCATTTTTTTTGCAGTCAATTTAAACTAGAAAAAAATTGTTTCTTTAGTGCTCATACACTTCATTTATAAAGGCTAAATTTTAACCAACACGTTAACCTCAAATTCGTTTAATTCTTTTCTATTGAATAAGTGATAATACCTGTCAAGGCCAATGACCCCTTGTGATAAATGTCGCTAAATTTTTCAAGCGTTTTTGTTTTCATTCCCAAATTAAAGTTACACAAAAAATAAATAAACTTTTTTAATTCCAAAAATCTTGCCACATTAGTAAAATTTTGGCCTTGATCGCAATGCCGATACCTGATATTATTATCTTCGTGAGCGCGATGTTGTCAATTCGCACTAAGTGCGCGCGGTTGCCGTTTAGCTTTGTTTTTAATATACAGTTACAGAACCTTTCTGTAGTTTGATGCACTTCTCATGTAGTGTCAAATATTCCAGAGATATTTTATTTTTTATTTTTAACAGTACATACAAAGAAGTTTATTTTAACGCATGGTATGAGTACCAACTAATTGAATTTTAATTGTATGGTTTCATTGATGGTTTAAAGTAGATTTTGATATATAAAATCAATGTGATTTTATTTATTATTAAGTTAATAAGAAGTACTACAAGTACACCGTTGCTGATATAAGCCTCAAGATATTTTATTCCGCTAATTATTGCTATTAAGCAGTAAAGGACCACGTCTCAGTCCATAGATCAATCATCACTGGCAACACGCACTGGTTTAAAGTTTTGAGGTATGTCTGACGAAAAGATGTGTCGTAATCTCCCGAACCGTTGCTCAGTCGAGGTCGAGTTGAATCCTTCGATCGGCGTCGTCGTCAGTTATCAGTTATCATCAATCAATAGAACGACTATATGATATGAAATAGGTATATAAAATATAATATTATGTTGATGCCTGCCTGTCTAATAAATAATGTAGGCAGACATGAATACATAGGTACACTGTTATTTTATTGATTTAATATGCCTACCACAATGATTAGTGTTGTTATTAACAAACACTTCCATAACTTAAATAAATAACATACTATATCATAGTGACATTCATAGATATTATGGTTTTAAATCCGCAAACGTGTTTTGTGCTTAAAAGCACAATGCTTCGGTAGTCGTTATTTGTGAAGTTTTTATGTATTTTTTTTTAAAGGAGTAAATACTTGATGAATCTTCTAAGAACTAAACCACAGAAATGCGAAATAATTACTGATAATATGCATTTCCTCATGAAGTAAGCATTATTTTGCGATTGACACTAATAGATAGACAATTTATGAACATTTTGGTGTAGGTATTTAATTTTTTCAAAGGATTAAAATTCGATTTTTTAAAGAGGATATTTTAAAATTTGGGCGTATTTTTCTTACGCGATATATCGTAGCGAGAGCGCGTGGAATGTATAATAATAATAAGACCGAACGCTCAAGGTCACTCGTTAGGAGTAGCGCCTTAACTTAAGTTAACAACGTCTAATACCATAAAAACATTGAGAACTCCCAAAACATTCCCGTAGAGTAGGCGTAGGGGGGTATTGATGTATTTTGCTTTGTAGTCCATCAAGATGTACCTAGCAACGGCGCGACGTTGCCGTCCCGCGTTGTACCGCTATGCGGTGTTGCCGCCTCGACCCACTTCCAAGCCGACGGGCCGCGACGGACGCGGGCCTTTTTTTCCTACGCTGCTAAATTCTATCGCTCTGTATATAGCTTAATTATAGGACAATTTTTAGATTCCCGAGGATGTCCTTCCTGGAACAAAAATCAATGGGAATGTTGGCCAGCTTGCTTTTACGTGTATAGTTCTTTTCTATTCTATCGGTAAATATTATTTATTTGCTTCATCATCATCATGAGCCTGCTGTAGTCAACTGCTAGACACGCACCCCCCCCCCCCCCCCACGCAAGCACGCACGCCCACGAACAAATGTTTTTGTACTCAACCTATTTTTCATATTGATGTAAGTCCCTTAGCTCACCTATTATATATATATATATATATATATATATATATATATATATATATATATATATATATATATATATATATATATATATATAAAATAAATTGCAGTTTTTAACATTAAAATTTGATTGTTTGGAAAAATATGGTTGGGTGCCAATTAATGTACGAATTCTCTCACATGTTAAAAAGCTACATGTAAGAATAAATAGTCACCATTCACCACGTGTTTTAGCCATCTCTGAACGTGTCTTTCTCTCCCTTCTCTTTAGGTCTCTAGTTCAAATTCTGTAGCGTCTATACTCTACCATAGTTCTTTTCAAACAAGAAGATAAGGTACCTACCTACATTCTAAATAAATTTGTATTGTTGTTAAATGCTGAAGTGCAATAAAAGAGGCATTAGATAAGGATTCCAAGCAATATAATTATTGTGATGTAGCCTCAAGCTATTTGCATATAATGCCCGCGCTCTTGGAAGTGACCGGCCAGCCAGGGTTGTATTGTGCCTATGTCGGTTGTATGTGTACATGTCGATGCCGACGTCGATAGTAAAACATTGTTATAAATGGCAAATTTGTCACAACAAAATCTTGTCAATGAATCGACGGCGAAACAATAAACGGGAAACGTTTTTAAATTTTTCATTAAAAAGTTACCGTAAGGAAAATAAACTATCATCAGCTCTTTGTTACACTGACTGCTGCTGGACCAGGAATCAGACTCTCCCGTATCAGGGAGAATTCTCCTTTATAGTTACGTTTCGCTGGCGGATACATGCAATATATTTATATCATTGCCGTTATGGGGCGTCTAAACGGGCTATATTTTACGACAATTTGTGACTGCAATTATTGGCAAACATTGCCCAGCCATTAAAAAAACATTTTAGTGCATTTTATGGCTGAGCAATCAATTGCAGGCAACATGTTGCAATATGGCTGCAATAGTATGGGCCTTTGATTCAGAACCCTTTAATGAGCCACACAATCCAGCAACAAAGGCCGACGAAATGACGCTCATCGTAGCCGCTTACATTGTTTTGGCAGAAAAACGAAAAAAAAGGACACGAATGTGGATTCGACCCTACCTAAGTAGGCGTGATACTTTGGATTCCGTAGACAAGGAATTAATGCTGGATAAATACTTATTTAAAAATTTTACAAGAATGTCTAAGAGCGACTTGAAATTTCTTGTGAACAGAATTGGACCAAACATACAAAGGCAAGATACAAACATGAGGAATGCAATACCTGTGACTACAAGATTAGCAATAACTCTACGTACGGTATTTAGCGACTGGAGATTCTTTTAAAAGAGTTTAATGTACCTTTTCAGAGTGTCCGCTTATTCAATTTCAACTATTGTCCCAGAGGTTTGTAAAGCCTTAATAGAAGGCTTAAAGGAATACATAAAGGCAAGTAAATATTTAAGTATTTATTAAGTACACATTTATTTTTGTTCGACGTAGAATCAATGAATTTGCGAATCACTATTGACAGTTAGAGTCACAAGTTGTTCATAAGCAATATTTCCAATTAACTGGGTGTGGTGTAGATCAGCATACTGTTGTGGTGGAGACTGATAAGGAGCGGTATATTCTTGAGTCATAGCTTGTACGCATCCAAGGCACCTTAACAACGTGTGTGTGCCATACTAGGCTGCACTAAAAGTATCGGGAATGGAATATTTCCACTGTTCCTGTCATATTAAAATCTTTTTAATTGAAAACTCCTTGGTTTTAAAAATCGAATACCATTTATTTATTTAAAAAAAGATTCTCGGTCTTGTACAAGGTTTTGTGAAACTTGTTTAGTCGTTGAGAAAATGGAATTGACTCGAGAAAATTCAAGAGCGATGATTTATTATGACTTTCGAAGTGGTTTAACACAAAAACAGTGTGTTGACCGGATGATTTCTGCATTGGTGATAAAGCCCCATCCAAAACCACAATTTGTCGCTGGTTTGCTGAATTTCAACGTGGACGTGTCAAGCTCAGTGATGATCCCCGTCAGGTCTCCAAAAACTGCAGTCGCCCAAGAAAACGTTGATGCTGTGCGTAAGCTGATTGAGAAAGATCAACATGTGACATACCGCGAAATTCAGGCAACTTTAGAAATTGGCATGAGTCAAATACAAATAATCTTGCATGAACAATTAGGTGTAAAAAAGTTGTTTTCCCGATGGATACCGCATTCGCTCTGTGAAGAGCAAAAAGCGGCTCGCCTTACTTGGTGCGTCAGAACTCTCGAAAGATTCCACGCAGGATCCTCAAATGCTGTATACAATATCGTATCAAGTGACGAATCCTGGATATACGCGTACGAACCCGAAACAAAAAACCAGTCACGAGTTTGGGTGTTCGAAAATGAGTTAAAGCCAACAAAAATTGTTCGTTCACGGAGTGTTGCAAAAAAAATGGTGGCCACGTTTGTCTCCAAAACCGGCCATGTTACGACTATTCCTCTTGAGGGACAAAGAACGGTTAATGCAGAATGGTATGCTAGCATTTGTTTGCCACAGGTCGTTTCTGAACTCCGTAAAGAGAACTGCAACCGCCGCATCATCCTCCATCACGACAATGCGAGTTCTCACACCGCACACTGAACAAAAGAGTTTTTAGAGCAAGAAAACATAGAATTATTAGACCATCCGCCGTACAGCCCCGACCTAAGCACTAATGATTTCTATACTTTCCCTAAAATAAAGAATAAATTGCATGTACAGAGATTTTCATCACCTGAAGAAGCTGTGGACGCCTACAAAACGGCCATTTTGGAGACCCCAACTTCCGAATGTAATGGTTGCTTCAATGATTGGTTCCATCGTATGGAAAAATGTGTCAAATTTCGCGGAGAATACTTCGAAAAGCAATAAATACATTTTTAAATAGTAATGTTGTGTCACTTCCTTGATTCCCGAAATTTTCAGTGCCGCCCTCGTAAGCTTTAACCGAACGCCGAGTTATTATTTATTTTATGTTTATTATTTACTTTACGTACATATTTATTTAATGTTACCGTTACTGTTACAATTAAATTCCACTGGTGAACATAGGCCTCCAATGAATTGCTTCATTGGGGATATTTGCCATAGTTGCCACGCTTGGCAAGCGGGTTGGCAACCACAGTTTTTTTATTCGTTATTAGGAAGACGCTGCTGCCCATCTCCTGATTTGTTTCAGTCTGTCGCCTCTTACGCTGTCTGCGGGATGATAGGGGGTAGTGGATATTCATACACCGCCACTACCTGGTCTTAATGTTTTATATTATGTAAAAAAGAATTATGTCTATAAATCGACGCCTCCGTAGCGTCGTGGCTAAGCGATTAGCTGCAATATAATAACAATATTTTTGGTTCATATCTTAAAATTTAAGAGAAATGTGAAATGTGAAATCCGTCGCACAGTGGGGCTACGCTGTGGTTTCTTAACTGCTTAAAATACCCATTCAAAAATAAAAATAAACGTTCATAGTGACTACTATTTTGTCTTCGAGCGTATCGATCCTTTTTCGAGCCGATCATAAAGTGTGCTCCCGCCTCTACTGGCCGTGAAGCAGGGGACCACATAGTGTGTACACGACCTTCGTTGACTATTTATATCGATATGTACTATCTCTCCTACCGAGAGAGAACTTCACTATACGCCAACGGACGTTTTTGCAGCAACGGTTGCGAGCACAATGCACATCCGGCGCATTGTCGGCCTCTTAGATCTGCATCTACATGCTACATGCGCGGAGCTTGCATATCCAAGTGCGGGAGTGTCTCGTACAATTTGCGCCAGCACGATGACACCGTCGTGTTTACCTTGTAATAATAACAAGCCGTGTTCGACGTGATGCACTCCACTCTTCTTGGAATTTCTAATCTTTTCAAAGAAAGTTGTGAGTCGCAGTATATTTTTAGAAACACGTAGGTACAATCGCTTCTTAAAAAATTGTTTATAGATCGAGGTAGCGTTTACATAAATCATAGTATTATCATCTTGCAATAAATTGCTTATGGATGAATTACTGAGAGGCTATATAAATACTTACTCCGAGCGGGATTCCAAACCGTTGCTCGCAGCACCGTAACCGCAGGCTCAACCACTGCTGCACCGAGCTTCATGTGTCCTTAATTATATTTTAGTGTTCGGCCTTGATATTAGGTATCATCATCATCATCATCATCGTTATGACCATTCCAATTCCCCTGCTAAACCTTGGCCAGTATACCCCGGGAGAGGTCCATGTCTAAATTTTTATGTGTTATTGAAGATGAAAAGAACATTCTGGTTTGTTTTGTATATTTTATTTTACATTCACTTGCGACTGCGATCACCGACCACGTCCCATAATTGTCCGTATGGGTACAGGAAGTCTGTAAGACCCGTGCTTTGTTTTACATTTGCGTGGATTACAGATAGGAAGAAAAAACAATGAAAGAAAACACATTGATTTATTTATATATATTACGTAAAGTTTTTACACAAAATAAGCGATATGAACTCTACAATGTCACATTTTTATTAACACCAATTTTAACATTGCGAAGTTAAATTGCCATTATTTAATTTATAATTTATTTAATTTAGTTTCCGTTTTAAAGTATTTCATTCTATCTTTATAGGATTTCACAATGTTTGGTCAGATGGTTAGACAGATGGTCTAAAACGATACCATATGTGTTTTGAGGTGATTTTTTTTCAACAATTTCGATTATATCAATATGAGCTATGTTATGTGGTGAGTGGTGACCACAAACCTCTACAGATTTCTTGCTTACTTCTCTCGTAGCCGTATTGTATCAGGAACTGATCATTGGGCTATTTCTGTTTTTCTTGTTCTTCTGCGGGGTGTCCTCGTTACGGATTTTACCACCCAGAAAAATTTTGAGCAAGTCCTCCGAGTGACAGTACTCGTGCTGCCAAACACAGTGTTTGGTATTCCCTGATCGGATCAACGACCTGATAAAAGATGCAGGGAATCAGAGATGAATGTAGAGGTGACTTTTATGGTCTTTTATAATGATGATGATGACTATATAATACATTATAGTTTAACTATTTTTTTTCTCAATTTTTGAAATGATTTTTTTCTCAATTCTGGGAAGAAAACTCAATAATTTTTGACGGCATTATATGAATGCGTGCGTCTCGTGAATTGAAATTTAAGATTAGTGTCCTACAATTAATTTATATTTAAATTGATTTCGCATGTACCGTGGCGCAGTGGGCAAACTGACCTCACTCTGTTTATGCTGCCTTCGGAACTAACGCTGGTTTCCAGTGTGCCCGAAACACGTAAAAAGCGGTCAACCTTAAAATAAATAAGTTAGCGAACTCGATCGCGGAGACGTTATACTGTGTCTGCACTCTAAAAGAACAGCAGACGTGAATGTGCTTGTTGTATCGTAAGCTCGTCAGAGTTTGCTTTATGTTAATTTTATTGCAACTGGTTGAATGACACCGATAAGGAAACAATAATACTGCGTAATAACGCCGCGCTGGCTTGTGTAGAAAACGTTACAGCGTAACAAATGACTAATTTGATAATTTATTACGTGATTTGATAAGGCTTATTGTAAATTATATCCTGTACTTTTTGTAATTAACTTTGAGTAACGCGGTGACAGTTCATCTAATTGTAAGTGGATGCTGCCCATAGACATCTACATTTATCCTCGATTAAGATTCTCGTTCTTACATTTACCGTACGAAATATATTAAACGGCTATTAAAATATTCTGCCTACTTAGGTTTACGATAGTTTTTTTTTTTAAATTTTTAACCGGTTCCTATATTAAAGTTTTAATGTTGAACGCGTATTTTTATGTATGTTCATTCGGTTCTCGGAAACGTCTAAACCGATTTCAATAATTCTTCTTTTATTAAATATGTACTTTCATAGGACAACCTGTGAAGGTACGTATTAATTAAAAGAAGTAGAAAGAAGGGTGGAAAAATACTATAAACTATTTAGTCGACATACTATTTGGTTACCTTGAACTTCTGATACTCTTTAGTTCATTCAAAAGCCAAAAATAATTAAAATTTGGACAAAAAAGGAAACCGATATGGAGTAGTGGATATTCTTCCAGCGCCACTACACATTCATATTGATAGACTAAAAATGCTGACTTTTTAATCGTTACATAAAAAAATTACAATGAATAAATTACAACCTGTCTGAATATAAATTGTGAAACAACTATGTATTTTATTCATACTACGGTAATTTTTATTTGATTTTTTTAAACTATCTGATGATTGGGGAATCAGACCTTGTTAAATCTCCATTTGCATTAAAATTAAATCGTACGTTATTTGAT